TGTTCACAAATCTGAAAAAATCTGTGATAGTGAGCACTTCTCCTTTGCTGAGATAATCCATCCCACCTCACAGGTGAGGCATATCAAGATGATGATTCAACAGCATGATTATTGCACAGGTGTGCCTTAGGCTGGCCACAATAAAAGGCCACTCTGAAACATGCATTTTTGCTTTATTGGCTGTCGAATTAGCATCTTGATATGCCACACCTNGTTGGCCATGCCATCGGGAGCAACTCAGGGTTAAGTATCTTGCCCAAGGATACATCGACATGTTGACTGCATGGGCTGGGATCGAACCCACAACCTTCAGGTTGAAAGACGACCGCACTCCCTCACAGCCACAGTCACCCTGAAACTCACTATTAAGCTATGTAAAGCTGAGGGGAATGCAGATGCAGGTGATGAAGGACTGTCATTGTTTAGTTGTTTTAAAATATTGATTATAGCCTTTTTAAATTAGCATATTAACACATTTTCTTTTGGAAATCAGTACTGAAAGAAAACATATTGCTCTTCTGATACTGCTCCTGACTACAGCTGTTGCTCCTGTTAATGCTACTTCTGAATAAAAACAAAACTCAGGATTCAGGATTATTTTATTGCAGGTATCTAAAAATAGACTTAATTAAATGTTCTCCTTTTCCAAACTTTATCTCTCTTTAATCAGACACGGTGGAGTGCTACAACCTGAGGAAAAATGAGTGGACATTTGTGGCCAACATGGTGGAGCCTCACTATGGCCACGCTGGAACAGTTCACGGGAACCTCATGTACATCTCAGGTAAAGTTACCATGTTTAACATACGGAAGTGAAACCATGTTTTCAAAGTGCATAAAACCACAGCTTTAATACTTGTTCAAAATGTGTAAAAAAAGGCATAATGTATCATCATAAGCCAATGTGTGAATTCCTTAAAATAAATAAGTCAGTGTCTTCCTAAACTTCTCTCATGACCATTTCAGGAATGACTCATAGAGACATGTTCTGTTCTGTTACCTCTATGATTATATAATAGTTAAGTTTAGCAAAGACATCACTGTTAGGTAAAGATGACGCTCATGGTAGGAGTTACAAAAAAACCTGCTTGTGGTAAAAAGAAACCAACACTGACTGTTCACAGGGGGACGCAACTTAGAGCGTCTCCTGTGTCGACCACACGCTTCAAACACCCAGCATCTCACTTCACTTCCTTATTCAAGCTTTCTCACAGCTGCCTAACAAAATCATGCAACTTCTTCATATGTAAGATTGACAGCCTATATAGAGTTGTAACGAATAGCATCTCCTTTGAGAGAGACTTCACACTCCCCAAAGTGATACAATTGTTTAATAAATAACAACATCAAATTTCACACAAACAGAAGAGAACCATGTGGATGATCAAAAGCCTTAAAGAGTGCGTAATGCTGCAGGCCTGATGGGAATTGGATTTAAAATAGAAACCATAACTCCAGACTTGTTTGCCTTACTAATACCAAGCAACTGGAATCTTCCTTTGAACTGTCTGGCTATGTGCAAGACGAACCAAACAGGGACCCACTAACAGCTTTAAAGGCAGCCCTGGCATCAGGTTGGGAGACCATAGTACTAGAAAAAATATATATATTTTGATAAGATGTTTTTTTTTTACGAGGCTTGCATGACTAGCCTATTTGAAACCACTTCCTGTTTAGCCGCAAATCTCATGAGCTACTCTCAGCCAACCGCTGGGTTTCCTAGCAACTTTGGCCAGGAAACCAGTTTCTCACATTGAGAGCAGATAAATAAGTTTCACACAAAGGTCTGTCTCAATACCTGGCAACAAATGGAAACCCACGGCTCTCAGAAGCTATAAAGGGTAGGTCATGTTTACCAGAATACACGACATGCTGTGTGTGTGTCACATTCTTAAACTCATGCTCAGTATAAACGAAACAAAAGACACAATACTAAAGGGGTTAAAGTTTGTTTTACATGGTTTTCTGCTTGGGTATCTATTAGGAAGGGGGGGGTTCTTGACTGTTATTTCTAGAATTATTATTATTATTTACAACTATGTTGATAAAACACTCTTCTGTATCAAACCCATCGCAACAGTATTCAATGACTTGTGTGCTTCATTTATGCATATCTAATATTATTTAGATTTTTGAAGCTTTGCATATCTAATTTTGTATTAAAGTATGTCAGCTTTATTTATACATACATTTGAATTGTGGTTAAAGAAGAAGTATGCTGAATAATTGTGTTGTTCACTGCAACATCCTGCTCCTCTGTGCAATAACGGCAGTAACCACCTTGACCTCTAGAAGGAGTGAGCAAAACCATTACAGGACAATGTGGGAAGAAGCTCTTAACTAAAAAGATATAAGTACAACAAAAATGTAATAAAAAAACAGACATCATTCACATTGTGTGAAAGGAAGTGTGTTGTTTTTTTTAATCTACGGCCCCAGGAAAGTACCTGAACACATGTTGACTTAAAACTGTTTTTCATGGGTGCAAACTATAGTCTCATCATTTCCAGATTTAATAACTTCATAATTATTTGGTTCAATAAAAATATAAAGATTTTACATCGATCAAGTTTATAATTAGCTGAGTCCTAAATTGTGTTTCTCCCAAAAGTTTTCACTAACAGTCACACATGCTTCTAAGTGTAAACATTCTCATTATCCCATAACCATCCTTTCCTTTCTTGGGTCTTCAACATGGGGTCTGTGACCCCTAGAGGGTCCTCAGAGTTACTCCAGGAGGGACGGAAAAAGATTATCTGACAATGCTTTGAAAGTTAAAACAATTAAAGCATGGATAGGACACATTCAATTCACAAGTATCCAAAGTAAGCCGGATTTTGCCGATGTGTTTATGTGGATTAAAAAGTCGTAAATAATCTACAAAATGGATGAGACCGATCTGATCGGAGCAACTGTGAGAAATAATCCAACTGAAACCGGCATGGACAATGACTATGTTTTAAAAATGCGCTTATCCAGAAAAGCCCGGTTTGGACACTTTACGGGCAGAAGAAACATTTCTATTAAAGAAAGAATTACGGTACGTCCACACAGCAGCTTTGAAAAAATCTTGGAGC